GCTGACTTCATTTTCCAGCAGGACTTGGCACCTGCCCACACTGCCAAAAGCACCAAAACCTGGTTCAATGACCGTGGGATTACTGTGCTTGATTGGCCAGCAAACTCGCCTGACCTGAACCCCATAGAGAATCTATGGGGCATTGCCAAGAGAAAGATGAGAGACATGAGACCGAACAATACAGAAGAGCTGAAGGCCGCTATTGAAGCATCCTGGTCTTCCATAACACCTCAGCAGTGCCACAGGCTGATAGCTTCCATGCCACGCCGCATTGAGGCAGTAATTGCTGCAAAAGGGGCCCAAAACAAGTACTGAGTACATATGCATGCTTCTACTTTTCAGAGGTGCGATATTGTTCTATGTACAATCCTTGTTTTATTGATTGCATGTAATATTCTAATTTTCTGAGATTGTGGATTTGGGGTTTTCATGAGCTGCAAGCCATAATCATCACAATGATGACAAATCACGGCTTGAAATACCTTGCTTTGCATGTAATGAGTCTATCTCATATATTAGTTTCACCTTTTAAGTTGCATTACTGAAATAAATTAACTTTCGCACGATATTCTAATTTTTCGAGTTTCACCTGTACTTTACAACCTTCTCCACCACTCATTTTACCTGGGTCATTTCCAATTATTACACTCACCAGCCATTTTATTAGGTACTCTTTGCTAGTGCCAAGAAAATATCCTCCACACCATTTCACCACCAGCCTGAACCGTTGATACAAGGCAGGATGAATCCATGCTTTTATGTTGTTTTTTGAGTTATTTGAGGTAATGTTATCTTTCTATCATCTCAAACCATTCTTCCCATTCTCCTCTGACCTCTGACATCAACAAGGCATTTTCATCCACACAACTGCCACTCATTGGATATTTTCTCTTTTTCGGACTATTCTCTGTAAACCCTAGAGATGGTTGTGCGTGCAAATCCCAGTAGATCAGCAGTTTTTGAAATACTCAAACCAGCTCATCTGGCACCAACAACCAAGTCACTTAAATCCCCTTAAATTCCCCATTCTGAACTCGGTTTGAACATTACAAAGTCGTCTTCGCATCCCTAGATTCCTAAATGCATTGAGTTGCTGCCATGTGATTGAGTGATTAGCAATTTGTGTTACCAAGCGATTGAACAGGTGTACCTAATAAAGTGGCAGGTGAGTGTATATTGTAATTTTTAACTCAACTCAGCTAATGCCAAAAAAAATTGGTTTGTACATTTGAAATTTGAACTTTTCTGGTCCAGCGTTATAATATTACATTTTGAACCTGCCATACAATTACTTGCCAATGTTTAATTATCTAATTTCCTGATTATCTGCTGTCTTTTTATGTCCCTTTCCTTCCATTGAGTGGATTTTTTTTTCATTTAGTGTCTTTATCCATGCTCAAGATTTAAAATTAACAATTTAAAAAATATGTTCAATTTTCAGTCAAGTAAAAATTACATTTCATTGGATAGGAATAATTTATATTTATTGATGTTACTATCCTTAGACCCAGGACCATTAATCCAACCTTAAACTATACTACAAAACTGAACCCTGTTAATCTTGTATCATGCTAAAAGTCTAATGTTCTGGCAATCCTCAATGCCAACTGTATTCTCATATTAAAAAGAGAAGAATGATGTGATCGGTTTGACTGATATTAGACAAAATGAAATCTTGGGGGGGTAAAAAGAGGATACATTGTTTTTTTTTTCTAATATTTAATTCATGGAACTAATCCATTCTCCCTCCTAAATTCCTCATATTCCCTGATAATAACTTTCTAACCAGGTGGTCTATCCGATTGTTAGACAATATTATAGAGAAGTGTATAGCAGCATAAAACATTGGACATTGGGACCCGATTTTATTATTTACCTTGAAAATAAAATGCAGAGCAAAGTGATTACTTTTCGATGATAGCGCAGAAATTGTGTAAAATATATAAAACTCTGCTGGGTAGTAATATACGCTCAAACATTCTTAACAACGTTGTATGGATGAATGGCAGATTGCTGGTTTTGTTTTTCCTTCCGCTGGAATAGTGATGGACATTTTTCTTAAATGATGTATTTTCATGTTCTCTTACCAGGTCCATCACAATAACATAACCTATATTGTACTGACAGGTTTTCACAATCTAAAATATATCAAAATTCTATTTTTCTTGGTGCTGCTTTTCATATATTGTGTTACTATTTTGGGAAATCTTTTTATTGTGGTTTTATCTCATGTGAGTAAAACACTTCAATCTCCAATGTACCTCTTCATCACCCAACTATCCTTGTTTGATATAATTCTGACCACAGATATTCTTCCCAACCTTCTTTATATCATCTTACATGATGGATGTACCATGTCTCTTGTTGGATGTATCATCCAGTTCTCCTTCTTTGTACATGCCGAGGCCTCAGAGTGTTTTCTTTTGACTGTGATGTCCTATGATCGGTATTTGGCCATCTGTAAGCCCCTGCATTACCACTCTATAGTAAACCAATCAATTTGCATTAAATCAGTGATTACCATTTGGTTATTGGGTTTCCAAATGACATTGATTGATTCCATATCTCTGTGCAGTCTATACTACTGTGGACCAAACATCATTCACCACTTCTTCTGTGACTATCAAGGAATACTTGAACTTTCCTGCTCTGATACTTCATGGATAGATTTTCAGACCTATGTACTAGGTTTTGTTTGTGTCGTAGCACCTTTTATATTAATTCTTATATCATATATCTATATTGTTATAACCATTCTCAAAATTAAATCCATTGCAGGAAGAAAGAAAGCCTTCACCACCTGCAGCTCTCACTTGACCACAGTGTGCATTTTTTATGGGACAATAATTGCTGTGTATTTGTTTCCAACAAAAGGTCAACTAGATATTCTGAGCAAAGTCCCCTCTCTCTTTTATACTGTAATGACTCCATTGCTTAATCCAATCATATATACTTTCAGGAACAATGAATTTAAAAAAGCTATTGACAAAATACAATTCTGAGTTTTAAATTAAAAAAAGCAAATGTGAACAATATGTTGTCCTCAGCAATTAGTCTTCTTTATGCTAGATTTATATGATGTATACAGTAAATATATATATATATATATATATATATATATACATACCATATATATTGATATGGGGGTTCATTAGTTCAGTGGTGGATGCGTTTGTAGTGACACCAAGCAAGTCAGAACTGTAGTTTAGGGCTTGCTGGCCTGCTTTTATTGAAAAAAACAGAAAATCTGCCTATTTGCTGACCCTGCTTTGATCCTGACCTCTGCTGACCATCTCCTGTTGAACCCCTGGCTTGCCTGACCATCCTTCTGCCTGATCCTCTGTACCGTGCTGCCCGTGAGTTACTGAACCCGGCTTGTGACCCTGACTATTCTCCACCTGCTCCTCCGATACCTCAATGCCCGCACGTTGCTGACCTGGCCTGCCTGACTACGCCTGATGCTACCCAGACGATCCATCCATCCCGCACAGATCCAGTCACTACTGTCCAAACCTGCCAGCCCTTTCACATCAGGCTTTCCCCCGGTACATACCCTCGGTTGGGTGCACTCAGGGGCCGCGACCTGGTCTCAGTCCTGCGCCAAGTCCATCCCCACCATCAGGGGCTCTGGTGAAAAGGCAGACTGGGGCTTAGACTCCATGGCCTGGGGAATCCTGTTATGTGGGTCACTAGAGATCCCACTGGGCGGTGCCTGACAGTACCTTACGGCCCGCCTGACCATTCCACCACTCCAGCCCTGACTACATCTGTGTTCCTGAAGCCTGCATTTCCCTGTGTCAGACCACACATTTCTGGTCATACCCCGGATCCCTGACATTACACCAAGGTTCTTCCTGACCAGAAGTGGCTGCACAGGGAAGCCATCTTGGCTTGTTGTTTGTGAAGGATCCACCCTAAGGAGGTTGAGTACTTGTCTCTGCTAGTCTTGGAAGACAGAGTATACGGCTATCAGATTCTGAAGAAGTATGCCAGGGATCAGCTACTAGAGTGCATGTGGGTTGCTCATTCCCTAGTAAATCAGGGCAGGTTGTTTGTTGAGGTGCAGCCATTAATCCAGGTTTGTGCTGAATTGGCTTTGTCCAGTATTCCTGAAAGCAGGGATGACTTTTCTCCGCCATTCAGTGTGGATCAAGTAGATTCACTGGTATGGTTGTTGGAGGATGATCTGGATTGCTTCTTGGAGCATTATTCAGCGTGTTCACAACATGTGCTAGTGGATTGTATAAATGCAGTGCAGTCTTTGGTCAGACAGGCTTTGTGTCAGCTGAGCTTTGTTCAACCGATACTACAGTCCTGGTCAGACTTTTTACACCCAGCCTCAGGCAGCTTGCAACAAACCAGTCCTGCTTCTAATTATTCCTCTGCTCAAAGCTCTCTTCCTCCATTTCCCACAGCACCCCCAGTTACAGCCCAATATACCCTGTTATCTACCACTTGTCAGTACCCTGTTCCCGCTCGCTGCCCCTATACTGCCTTTAACCCTGTAAGGAAGTCCTCTGTAGCAACTGCTCCCTCCTCTGTTCCATTCTCCAGCTCTTCTCTGTCCTCAGCTGCTCCATCCATTTACAGACCTGCATTTACTTGCAGTGCCCCAGTAACTAAACCCAAGAAGAAGGGAAAATTCTTTCCAACCAGTACCATCCTACCAGTATCCGAACCGGTCAGCCTGCCGTCTGAGAACCCGCCTTCCGTTGTTCAGCCTGATGCCCTGATGCCTGATGACCTGATCCAGCCTGATGACGCGATCCAGCGTGATGACCTGATGTTCGTGGTGCAGCCTGATGACCCGATCCAGCCTGATGACCCGATCCAGCCTGATGACCCGGTGTTCGTGGTCCAGCCTGATGATCCGATCCAGCCTGATGACCCGATCCAGCCAGATGACCCAATCCAGCCTGATGACCCGATCCAGCCTGATGACCCGATCCAGCGTGATGACCTGGTGTTCGTGGTCCAGCCTGATGACCCGATCCAGCCTGATGACCCGATCCAGCCTGATGACCCGATCCAGCCTGATGACCTGGTGTTCGTGGTCCAGCCTGATGACCTGATCCAGCCTGATGACCCGATCCAGCCTGATGACCCGATCCAGCCTGATGACCCGGTGTTCGTGGTCCAGCCTGATGATCCGATCCAGCCTGATGACCCGATCCAGCCTGATGACCCGATCCAGCCTGATGACCTGATCCAGCCAGATGACTCGGTGCCCGCTGTTATGCCAGATGACTCGGTGCCTGCTGTCGAGCTTTATTGACTCGGTGCCTGCTGTCGAGCCAGATGACTCGGTACCCGCTGTCGAGCCAGATGACTCGGTACCCGCTGTCGAGCCAGATGACTCGGTGCCCGCTATCGAGCTTGGTGACTCGGTGCCCGCTGTCGTGTCAGATGACTCGGTGCCCGCTGTCGTGCCAGCTGACTCGGTGTCCACTGTCGTGCCAGATGACTCGGTGCCTGCTGTTCTGCCAGATGACTTGGTGCCCGCTGTCGTGCCAGATGACTCAGTGCCCTCTGTTCTGCCAGATGACTCGGTGCCCGCTGTCGTGCCAGATGACTCGGTGCCCGCTGTCGAGCCAGATGACTCGGTGCCCACTATTGAGCTTGGTGACTCGTGCCCGCTGTCGTGTCAGATGACTCGGTGCCCGCTGTCGTGCCAGCTGACTCGGTGTCCACTGTCGTGCCAGATGACTCGGTGCCCGCTGTTCTGCCAGATGACTCGGTGCCCGCTGTTCTGCCATATGACTCGGTGCCCGCTGTTGTGGCAGATGACTCGGTGCCCACTATCGTGCCTGATGGCCTGGTGCCCGCTGCCTCGCCTGATGGCCCGGTGCCCGCTGCCTCGCCTGATGGCCCGGTGCCCGCGGCCCAGCCTGACGTGCCTCTGCCCGCTGCTCAGCATGACGTTGCCTCTGCCCGCTGCCCAGCCTGACGTGCCTCTGCCCCCTGCCCAGCCTGACGTGCCGGCTGCTGATGCCCAGCCTGCTTCTGGAAATCCTGTGTCTGGCAATCTGCCTTCCTGCGGTCTCCTGCAAAAAGATAGGCCTATCAGCAGGAGACCCAGCCAATCGCTTGATTCCGGCAGTGGGATGTCCAGCCAGTTGCTGGACCCAGGCTGTGGAACATTTGGGCCATTACGAACTGTTTGGAGCGTCCTGAGGCCGTTCCTTGAGGGGGGGTACTGTCAGGAATGGACTTGCCAATGGTGGTGGGACTCACCTGCCTTGTGAGCTGCAGTACCAAGGCTGGCCAGCGGGTGCTCTCAGCAGCCAGAATCTCACTCCTGCAGTCAGCCCATCACCTGAGGCTGATTGCAGGAGGTGTATTTAAGCAGGACTAGGCCTGTGATCAGTGCCTTGGTGTATGTTTCCCATGAGCCCCTGTACCTGGTATCCTGTGTTCCTGCCTATCTGCCTATTTGCTGACCCTGCTTTGATCCTGACCTCTGCTGACCGTCTCCTGTTAAACCCCTGGCTTGCCTGACCATCCTTCTGCCTGATCCTGCCCGTGAGTTACTGAACCCGGCTTGTGACCCTGACTATTCTCTGCCTGCTCCTCCGGTACCTCACTGCCCGCACGTTGCTGACCTGGCTTGCCTGACTACGCCTGACGCTACCCAGACGATCCATCCATCCCGCACGGATCCAGTCACTACTGTCCAAGCCTGCCAGCACCTTCACATCAGGCTTTCCCCCAGTACATACCCTCGGCAGACCCCTCTACCACAGTTGGGTGCACTCAGGGGCCGCGGCCTGGTCTCAGTCCTGCGCCAAGTCCATCCCACCATCAGGGGCTCTGGTGAAAAGGCAGGCTGGGACTTAGACTCCTGGGGAATCCTGTTCTGTGGGTCACTAGAGATCCCACCAGGTGGTGCCTGACAGTACCTTACGGCCCGCCTGACCATTCCACCTCTCCAGCCCTGACTACACCTGTGTTCCTGAAGATTGCTACTTCCCTGTGTCAGTCCACACATTTCAGGTTCATACCCGGATCCCTGACAGGTTTTCATGAGCTGTAAGCCATAATCATCACAATGATGACAAATCATGGCTTGAACTATCTTGCTTTGCATGTAATGAGTCTCTATCATATATATATATTACAAACAAGACACCCCTTTAGCACCTGATGGATAAATGCATGCACTAGCTGTTGGGATTTGAGCACAGGGATCTCTTGTTTGTTGTATTGTTGGGTCAGTAGCCAGACCTGAACCTTGTAGCTCTCCCCATTGTGTCTTTTCCCCTATGCTAGCATTGTGTCCACAGTAGCACTTGCGTAGGCAGGGCAGAGTAGGACTGGCCATAGAGGGATTACTTTGAAGCAGTTGGCCAGCTTAAGCATGTATTGCAATATGTGTGAACCAAATATCCCTATTTGTTGCATAGTCTGCTTGAAAGGGTATATACCAGTGTGCAGAGGGCCCTTCAGAATCTCTCATATATTAGTTTCACCTTTTAAGTTGCATTACTGAAATAAATGAACTTTTGCACGATATTCTAATTTTTCGAGTTTCACCTGTACTTCACAACCTTCTCCACCACTCATTTTACCTGGGTCATATCCAATCATTACACTCACTGGCCATTTTATTAGGTACACTTTGCTGGTGCCAAGAAAATATCCTCCACACCATTTCACCACCAGCCTGAACCGTTGAAACAAGGCAGGATGGATCCATGCTTTTATGTTGTTTTCTGAGTTATTTGAGGTAATGTTATCTTTCTATGATCTCAAACCATTCTGCCCATTCTCCTCTGATATTATCCCCTGGATGAGGCTACGCAATCCCTGTGGCGCGACGCATTGGGGAGGGGCAGTGACGTTACTGTGCATCTGATCTACAATACGGCGAGTACTGAAGGCGTGTGGTAACACACCCTCTAGTCCGATCCTCACCACAAGCAGCGGCATATAATTTACACAAAGCGCTATGTTTATTTATGACATGTGAGTGCATTATGGAAGCACATTAAAACTTATTTTATTTTTGGGATAAGGCACCATATCTTCTGTTTTTTCTTGCATGGGATATGCGAGGAATGCTCAGGCATTGGATTAAGGAGTGGATCAAAGGAGGGAGCATCCCTCACAGGCACACAGGCTCATAGTGAAGCTACAAGATCAAAGCTTAATATTCATTGAAGGAGAGTATATTTGTTTTAGTTGGAACATTTCTGCACATTTGCACTTGGGACTATATTTACTGTTTATTTCTTCCATTATATATCACAATTTTTTATATATATATCTCACCATGAATTTCTTTTTGGTTCATTGATGGAATATTTGTACATTTAATAGAGCATTTCACATTTAGTGATTTTTTGTTATGGTAACACTATTTCATTTAATTTCATTTTTATTTTAATCTATTAGTTACAATCAATTATATATTTATTTTTAATTATAATTTTTTTTTCATAGGCATCATGCACTTTTTTGTCAATCATTTAACTGGTTGATATTAAGTGCACATTTTATGAGAGTGGGCAAGCTAACCAGCGATCTAATACACATATTCGTCTGTATACCTCAGTGGCTCACAAGTTAATTAGTATAATTAAGGGCAATAGCTCTGTTACTATTGGTACACTGTTTGATTTGTCTTTATTATATTGTTGTGTGTACCACCATTGGTTCATTTGACATGAGGATTTTTATACTCCGAATGTCTCTTTTTCTTTTTCTCTTTTTTTCCCTCTCCCCCCCCTTTTTTTCCCCCCTTTCCTCCCCAGGGTCAGCTGGCTGCGTATATGGACTCCTCGGACCATTTTCATGCTCCCAGAGCAGATGATTCCTATTTTGTATAGTTCCCTGATTTTCGATTATGTCTTCCCTACGGTTAACCAGCAGAGCTGTTCGTCTGCTTTCTCAAGACGTTCAGGGGCTCAATTCCCCCTCCAAATGTATAAAAGCCTTTAACTAATATCGATCTTTTGGGGCGGATATAGTTGCTTTGCAGGAGACACATTTTCCCCCTTCATTCTCCCCACGATATGTTCATAAGGATTATCCTGTCTGTTATTTTGCTAACGCTATGGAAAAGAAAAAGGGGGTTGCCCTTTGCTTGTCTCGCCGTTTGTCCTTTACTGAATCTAAAATTATCCAGGACAGGGAGGGGCGGTATCTTCTGGTGAAAGGCCACTTGGGGGGGCACTTACTCACTTTTCTAATCTACTACCCTCCGAATACAAACCTGGTAGAATTTTTTCAGCTTTTATTAAGCTCTATGGCTAAGGAATTTGAAGGTGATGTTATTTTGGCCGGTGACTCTAATTTAGCATTAGATCAGATTTTGGATAGCTTCCAAACCGCCATGCTTCGGCCCCCTTCTAGGCAAAGCCATAAGCTGGCCCAACTATTGTATCGTTACGACTTTGTCGATGCTTGGAGAGAAGCTAACCTGACTTCTCGAGATTACTCCCATTATTCTAGGGCCCATAATTGTTATTCTCGCATTGACCATATATTTCTTCATACACATTCACTCCCCAGACTCCTCACTGCTAAAATTCTCTCCATGCCTTGGTCTGACCACGACCCAATTTCTATTCAATTGTCCTCCTGGACACTTTGTAAGATGGCTTATTGCTGGCGTCTTAATGACTCCATTTTGGGTAACCCCTCCTATTGTGGGACATCTTACACTTACAAGCGTACTATGAACTTAATAAAGCGGAGGGAGGATACGAACTCAGCGATTAACTGGGCAGCCTATAAGGCCTCAGTTAGGGGGTTTATTATTCAACTCTCCTCACAAATTAAAAAAGCCTCAAGACCCTGGTAAGATCCTCCACAAATTTCATTCTTTTTACACTAAACTATATACCTCACCTCAGGGAGATGCTTCTTCATCACTCGATGCCTTTTTGAGCTCTGTTCTGCTTCCCTCTCTCCAGGATGCACATAGGGAGTTGATGGAAAGGCCTATCTCGTGCGAAGAAATTGGGAGTGCTATGAAATCCCTTGCCCCTCATAAAGCCCCGGGACCAGATGGTCTTCCTCATAACTATTATAAAGTTTTTCCTGATGTCCTGATTCCCCATATGGCTCTCTACTTTAACTATTTATGAGATGGGGGGCAGGTGCCCCCTGACGAAAACAAGGCAATTATCAGTGTCATCCCCAAGCCTTTTAAGGACGCTTCTATAGTTTCTAATTATTGGCCTGTCTCCTTAATCAATTGTGATTTAAAGATTCTTACTAAAATCCTGGCTTTACGCATCCATAAATTTTTGGCTCTGTATATTCATGATGATCAGTCAGGATTCATCAGCGGTCGACAAACATCAGATCAAATTCGCTGGACTTTAGCCCTGTTGTCAGCTGTACAATCCAGTTGGGACCAGTCCTCACAGAAGAAAATCCTATTATTATCATTGGATATTCATA